CAACAACCGGGGAGTCACCAACAACCGGAGAGGTGCCAGGAACTGGAGAGTCACCGGGAACTGGAGAGTCACCAACAACCGGAGTGTCACCAACAACCGGGGAGTCAACAACAACTGGAGAGTCACCAACAACCGGAGTGTCACCAACAACCTGAGTGTCACCAACAACCAGAGTGTCAACAACAACCAGAGCGTCAACAACAACCGGAGAGTCACCAAGAACCGGAGAGGTGCCAGGAACTGGAGAGTCACCGGGAACTGGAGAGTCACCAACAACCGGAGAGTCAACAACAACCGGAATGTCAACAACAACCGGAGTGTCAACAACAACCAGAGAGTCAACAACAACCAGAGAGGTGCCAGGAACTGAAGAGTCACCAACAACCGGAGAGTCAACAACAACTGGAGAGTCACCAACAACCGGGGAGTCAACAACAACCAGAGAGGTGCCAGGAACTGGAGAGTCACCAACAACCGGGGAGTCACCAACAACCGGAGAGTCGACAACAACCGGAGTGTCACCAACAACCGGGGAGTCACCAACAACCGGAGAGTCAACAACGACCGGAGAGTCAACAACAACCGGAGTGTCACCAACAACCGGAGTGTCAACAACAAACGGAGTGTCAACAACAACTGGAGAGTCACCAACAACCAGGGAGTCACCAACAACCGGAGTGTCACTGGGAACTGAAGGGTCACCAACAACCGGAGAGACGCCGGGAACCGGAGAGTCAACAACAACCGGGGAGTCACCAACAACCGGAGAGTCACCGAGAGCCGGAGAGTCACCGAGAGCCGGAGAGTCACCAACAACCGGAGAGGTGCCAGGAACTGAAGAGTCACCGGGAGCTGGAGACTCACCAACAACCAGAGAGTCACCAACAACCGGAGTGTCACCAACAACTGGAGAGTCAACAACAACCGGAGAGGTGCCGGGAACCGGAGAGTCAACAACAACCAGAGAGTCAACAACACCCAGAGAGTCACCGGGAACCAGAGAGTCACCAACAACTGGAGAGTCACCGGGAACCGGAGGGTCACCAACAACTGGAGTGTCAACAACAACTGGAGAGTCAACAACAACCGGAGAGATGCCAGGAACTGGAGAGGCACCAACAACCAGAGAGTCACCGGGAACCGGAGAGTCACTGGGAGCTGGAGAGTCAACAACAGCCAGAGAGTCAACAACAACCGGAGAGTCAACAACAACCGGAGAGGCACCGAGAGCTGGAGACATGTTGGGAACCGGAGAGTCACCAAGGACTGGAGAGTCACCGAGAACAGGAGACCCACCAAGAACCGGAGACACATGAAGAACCAGAGAGTCAACAACAACCAGAGAGTCAACAACAGCTGAAGAGTCAACAACAGCTGGAGAGTCACCGAGAACTGGGGATGCGCCAAGAACTGGAGACTCCCCAAGAACCGGAGATGCCCCAAGAGCTGGAGACTCCCAAAGAGCTGGAGACTCCCAAGGAACCGGAGGCTCCTGAAGAGCCGGAGACTCCCAAGGAGCTGGAGACGCCCCAAGAACCGGAGACTCCCCAAGAGCTGGAGAATCCCCAAGAG